GCTGCTTGGCCTGCTGTGTTCATCCAGCTCTACGTCTTGTTGTCTCAGATTCTCCAGCATCTGCAGTTCCTACTATCTCTGATACAGCTAAAACCCTCTACTGTGCTGGGGACTGTATCGTTCTCTTCCCATCCTATTCATGTATTTGTCAAGACGCCCTTTAAAAGTCATTATCGTATCTGCTTCCACTACCTCCCCCAGCAGCAGGCACCTACCACCTTCTGTTTTAAAAAAAACTTGTCTCATACATCACCTTTAAACCTTGCCTCTCGCACCTTAAACCTATGGTCCCTAGTAACTGACTCTTCCACTCTGGGGAAAGAACTTCTGACTGTCCACTCTGTCCATGCCCTTCATAATTTTGTAGACCTCTATCAGGTTGCCCCTCAACCTCTGTCATTCCAGTGAGAACAACCCAAGTTTCTCCAACCTCTCCTCATAGCTAATGCCCTCCACACCAGGCAATATCCTGGTAAATCTTTTCTGTACCCTCTCCAAAGCCACCGTATCCTTCTGGTAGTGTGGTAACCAGAATTGAACACAATATTCCAATTGCAGCCTAAGGCTCTATGCCGCTGCAATATTACCTGCCAATTTTTGAACTCAGTACCCTGGCCGATGAAGGCAAGCATGCCGTATGACCTGTTGACAACCTTCTCCATCTGCATTACCGCTTTCAGAGACCTGTATACCTGTACATGCAAATCCCCATTCCTTACCCAATTCCTCAAGGTAGTGTCTTTGCCTCAACCATCTTTAACTACTACATCAATGACCTTCCCTCTCTTATAAATGTCAGAAGTGGAGATTGTGCAGTCGTCAGCAAACATGTTCAGCACCATTCATGACTTTCTGATACTAAAACAATCTATGTCAATTGTAGCAAGACCTCATCATATCCATGCTTGGGCTCTTGTGGCAGGTAACATTCATGCCTCACAAATGTCTGCCAATGACTACCTCCAACAATCTAATCATCACCCTTGAGATTCAGTAGCATTACTATCACTGAAACCCCCTATTAACATGCTAGGGATGATGATGTGGAGGTGCTGGTGTTAGACTGGGGTGGACAAGATCAGAAATCTCACACCACCAGGTTATAGTCCAAGAGGTTTATTTGAAAACACCAGCTTTTGGAGTCTTACTCCAAAATGCTCAAGATGATTTAAAGATTTAACAGCTTCTTAAGTTTGTTTAGTACATCCTCGTCAGTGGTGTGATCCTTTGATCTTTTTACTTATAAATTCTGTGTCTGATACTGATTCTCTTGCTAACATGTGAAGGAGGAGTAAAACTCTGAAAGCTTGTGTTTTCAAATAAACCTGTAGGACTATAACTGGTGTCGTGTGATTTCTAATCTCCTCCTGGCAATTACCATTAACCAGAAACTCAACAGGGCATTCCATATAAATACAGTGGCTACAAGCATACTGCAGAAGTAAATTACTTCTTCCCCATCCCACCCAGTCTGTCCACCATCTACAAGGCTCGGGTTAGGAGTGTGATAGCATTGATAGCATACTCTCCACTTGCCTGGATGAATGCACTGAAGAACCTAAACACCATCCAAGCCAAAGCAGCCATTTGATTGATCGTTTGTGGATGTGGTGGCATTCAGTCACTCTATTGCTGACACTCAATAACAGTGTATACAATACACGATACAATGCAGAAATCCAAAGATTCTGAGATGTTACCTTCCAAACCTACATTCTCTAGAAGGACAAGGGCAGCAGGTACATGTGACCGAGTTCACCTCCAAGCCATTCATCCTGACTTGGAAATGGATTACCTTCAGTGGTGTCAGGTCAAAGTTGTGGAACTGCCTCCCTTACAGCATTGTGAATATACCTACAGCAGATGGACTGCAACAGATCATGAAGACACCTCACTAACTTTTCAAGGGCAACTAGGGATAGGTGATACATGCTGGCCCAGCCAGTGACACCCTGGTCCCATGAGTGAATGAAAAAACAACTGTAAACATTCCCTTTCATATGATTCCAGGTATTAGGTCACACTCTAGGGAAATGTGATATCTGATACAGTATAGGTAGATGCTTACTGCCAATAATATTCACTAAAGCCTTAGGTATTCATGCAAATCCCTCATGGAAAAGCCATGACTTTGTCTTTAGCCAGGAAAAGAGTTTAGATGGCTCCCAGAACTTTTAACTACAAGCATAACTTGCCTCTTGAGAATTAAGTAATTTTTTTTCTCCCTGGTCAGGAATTCCCAGGTATCTTATTTTCTTTTTCCAGGCTCTCAGTTATATTTATACTTTAGTTTTACAGTGGCAGTCAGAGCTACAACTGAATTTGTTGTACTCTCAGTCAAAGCTCCCTTGTCTGCACTGACCTTGTCCACCCTGATAAATCCCATGGATTTACTCTGCCACTCCAGCAATCTGCACAAGACTGTCACCTTGTGACAATGGAAACACTTGGGCCTTTGGACATTACTTCTGCCCTTATCATTTTCCTTTCTCACCTGAAGAGGAGATTTGGGCATTACCAGCTCTCCCTTCTCTCCCCGACTTTAATCTCCTTTTCACTCTCCCTGTGTTCACTGCTATCAATGTGGTGTCCTCTACATTGGGGAGGCCAAACATAGACTGGGTGACCACTTTGCAAAACACCTATGTTCTGTTCGCAAAAATTACCTTGACGATACTATTGCCCACTACTTCAACACATCACTGTGTTCCCTTGCCAGCGACTCTGTCTTGGGCTTGCTGCAGTGCTCCAGCGAAGATCAGTGCAAGCTGGAAGAGCAGCACCTCACTTACTGCTTGGAATCTTTGGAGCCTTCAGGCCTCAATGTCAAGTTCAATGATTTTAGGGCTTGAGTACTTTCTCCCATGTCCTTAACCCAAACCCCATGCACTAGGCCTTGTCATCACATTGTTTGTGGAAACAATCAACACATTGTCAGCCACTAATGGTCCCCATTAGCAGCTATTGATTCTCCCAGGCTTACTTTACCCATTCCTTGATCTGCCCAACCGTTTTCTTTCTCTCTTTTTCTCTCTCTCTCTCTGGGCTCCATCTCCACCTATAGTTTACTCCTCTTCCCCTACACCCCCCCTCCCTTCCCTCCACCATCCTATTTTCAGCATATATACTAACCTTTCCTAACTACAATCTGTTCTGAGAAGGGTCTTTGCGCCTGAAATATTAACTCTGATTTGTCTCCATAGCTACTGCCAGACCTGGTGAGTTTTTCCAGCAATTTCTGTTTGTTAGTAATTGCAATGTTCATTTTGATGTAGTTATTTCATAATGCAGAACTTGATTATTGCTGAAAAAAGACCCATTTTTTTTCAGAGGAAAGGGTCGAATGTTTCGACCCGAAACGTTAACTCTGATTTCTCTTCACAGATGCTGCCAGACCTGCTGAGCTTTTCCAGCAACTTCTGTTTTGTTCCCATTTTGTACAAGATTTTCATCTTGTACTTGGGCTAATACTGAAGAAATGCCAATGTAAAGGGAAACAATATTTATACTGTATGAGAGGAGAATTTGATCATTTGACAAATCTTTCAATAACAGCAATGCATAACATTTGAAGACTGTGATCACAATGTTTTCACAGATGACCACAAAACTTTGATATAGGAAAGGAGTTGAAGGCGAAATCGGTAGCAGACTGTGGAAAGTAGGCCATTACCTAAAAACTGAGTGGATTTGCAAAATAGAAGAACAACCCATCCTATGCTATAGAAGATGCAATTAATTTGCAGAGTTTGTTAACAACTGTAATGCATGCAGAACTCAAATGGTTATTCCCAAAGATCTGCAGCAACATGTATTGCATATTGCTGATCTGAAAAGGTCACTTTGGTGATGTGAAAATGAAGGAACTACCTTGTGAAGTAATCTGGTGGCTACAAATAGATTGCCATATAAAAGCATTTATTTTAAAATGTGTAGTTTGTATTCATTTTACTCTTATCTGTTCAAACATGTTATGACACACATCAAAGGCAGATGGGACTTGAGCCTGCAATTTCTGACAGGCATATTACCACTGCACCACAACAGTCCGAAGCTACATATGTAAGGATACACCTGCATTTGAGCCAGAGACCTCATGATCTTTAGTTAAATATTGCACCACTGTTATTTTTAATCAACCTGCTCAGGAATGTTATGATAAATATCTGAGGCAGGTGGGACTTGAACCTTCTAGTCCTGAGGTAGGGACATAATTTTATGTGCTATACAGTAGGACTAACAAAAAGTGTGGCAAACTGTGTCCCACACCTCTACAACTGAATGCAGGCCCAACAGAAACTTGACAATGACTCAGAGTAGATATTTTCAGCAAAGTGCAAGCAGCCACTAGGAATCGAAGATTTTTGCTTGTCATTCATGACCAACATAGCAATTGCCAGGAAACAGCTGTAACAAATTTGATAATAACTAATGACTGAAGTGATTTTCTGGACAAATTGTTTACAAAATAGGGTTTGCTACAGTCCATCACTACAGACAATGGCCTATAGTTTATTTACAGTTTAGTGAGTTCCAACAAGCCACAAAGTTCACCACAATTGAATGGTGGCATCAGGTATTCAACAGAGTGACAGAGGACATTCTGAGAGTCATAATGTCAAGACAGGAGAACATTTGATCAATCCATTTATATTCTGTTCACACAGCAATCTACCCCACACTCTGAGTGAAAAGACACTGGCTGAACTTAGAATTGCTCATAACTTTTGCATTCCATTGACAACTCCAAAACCATAAACGTTATCCAGCAGGAATTTCAGGGCAAAAGCAGAAAAAAAAAATTACAAAGTAACAAAGTAAAGCAAAAGCATACTTTGACAAGCAAGCTGGGGAATGATTATTTGAAATCAGAGATTGACTCTGCATCAAATAGCGAAATCATAATTGCAAACTTCCATCATGTCTATCAGATCCAAAACACATCACATAGTTGTTTGGTACTGACACTTATCTGGTGGGTGACAACAAAAAAAATAGAATGCAAGATTCTGATTGCAGACCAGAACACTTCAAGGTCAGTGACTATGACTTTTCATTTCTTTTTACAATGAGCAACTGTGACATTCAAGACAATAAGGACTGCTGTGAGCTGGAAAAGCACAGCAGGTCAGACAGCATCAGAGGAGCAGGAAAGTCAACATTTCTGGTTGAAACTTTTCGGTAGTGAATTTCACAGATTCAATATCCTTTCAGAGAAACAATTCCTCCCTGTCGGTTTAAATCTGCTACCCCTTATCTTAAAACCATGACCTCTTGTTCTGGATTGCTCCTCAAGAGGAAACATTTGCTCCACATCTATTTTGTCAATCCCCTTTAATATCTTATAAACCTCAATTAGATCTCTCATTCTTCAAAACTCTGAACAGTTTAGGCCTAAACCGCTCAATCTCTCTTCATAAGACAAATCCCTCATCTCTGGAATCAATCTGTGAAACTCCTCTGAACTACTTCCAATACAACTATATCCTTCCTCAAGTGAGGGGACCAAAAACGTATACAATACTCTAGGTGCAATCTCACTAATGCAGCAACATTTCCCTAGTTTTACACTTTATTCCTTCAGCAATGAATGCCAAAATTCCATTTGCCTTTCTTATTACCTGCTGTACCTGCAATTTAGTTTTCTGTGATTCATGCAGGAGGGTGCCTAGATCTCTCGGGACTGAAGCACTCTGAAGTTTCTCTCCATTTTGATAACTTGTCTTTCTATGCTGCTGACTATAATCTCTTACTTATCCATGTTAAACACAATCTGCCAAATTTTGGCCAACTCACTTAACCTATTCATGCCTAGTCATTTTTTTAAATTTCTCTGTTGCAACTTACTTTACCATTTATTTTAGGGTTATCTGCAAATTCGGCTATGGAACCTTCTATCCCTGCATCCAAGGCATAAACATAGATTGTTAATAGTTACAGCCTGAGGACGAAACCCCATGGTACCTGCTAGTTACATCTTGCCAACCAGAAAAAGTCCCATTTATCCCAAATTTCTGCTTCCTGTTGAAAAGCTAATCCTCTATCCAAACTGATAAATTACCCTAACTCCATCTGATTCCAAATGTCTTGTTATTACTTCCTTAATAATGGATTCTAACAATTTCCTATTAACTGATGTTAAACTAATTGGTTTATAGTTTCCTACTGTTTACCACCCTCCCTTTTTTTTAATAAGAGTGTTATATTAGCATTTTTTCCAATCCACTGGAAACTTTCCAGCATTCAGGGAATTTTGGATTCTTAGTACCAATATCTCAAAAGTCACCTTCATATCTTAAAGGTTATTGCTATGCACAGTGAAAGTGGGCAAGTTGAATCTAAAAGAATGATTTTTCTTAGGGTGCTTTAATTTAATATAGGTCTTTAGTTTAACAAGTGGGAGAAGCAACAATGTTCCATTTTTCTGGTTTAATTATATATCTGTTGATTTATTTCTGCACTGTGGCTGATTAGTTAAGCTTGGATGTGGTGACTGGAGATTAAAAATGACCAAAATGAGTCAAGTTGCTGTCAGCATCTTGGCGGACATTTTCAATCATTGAATGAAACACACATACAAACCAGTGTATCATCTCTGAATATCTCTGAGGAATAAACCAAACACATGAATGCAGCAGATTGGTGGAATCATTTTGGAATTACTCTTATCTTCAAGTATTCTAGATGGGAGCACAAATATGCAAAGGCAAATTGATAGATCGATTGATTAAGCCAAACTTTGGCAGATGTAGCTTAATCTGAGGAAGTCTGAGGCCATCTGCATGGGATTTTTGAAAATTCACCTATGTATCTTTCTTAACATTGAAAACCTACAAACTATGAAGAAACAGGATTCACGTGTAAAAATCTCCAAATAGCACTGAACAGGCACAAAAATCTAATATATAATCTTATCTTTGAACTCAGGGATGTTGGAGTTCAAAATTGAAGAATTTATCATTTTGTTATACAGAATCTTATTTAAACAGCAACTGGGAGCCCAGCATTATGTTTAATTTTGGGCACTTGAAACTTCAAAAACTACATATTGTTCTTTGAAGGGTGTACCATACACACTCACCAGGAAGATTACAGGGCTTAAAGAGTTAAAAAATGAAGACCAGTTGCATAAGCTGGCATTGAATTCTAAGTTTAATCAAGTGGTTATAAAATTGAAACATTTAAAGCCAGCATGCATAACAAAATATTTTCCCCTAGTGGGAAATCAAGAATAAATAGGCAAAGTGTTAAAATATAGGATTTTCAGGAGTGAAATTAGGAAACATTTTGCCATTCAAAGAGTTATGAGATATTAGCTTTTCTCTCATAACGTTCTCCGTGTACGTGTTATTACTATTCCTTATCTTTCTATCTAGGCCTCTTGTCTGTTTATCTCCCCTGACTATTTCTCTCCGTTCTTTTTTCCCTTCTGCTTTTTAGCCTCTCTTTCTTGCTCCGTTTCTCACTTTCCCTATCGCCATCTCAGTCTCTTTCAAATCGGTTAATTTACTATTTTTTCTACCTGTCAGCATGTTTTTCTCTCACTTTTCCCACTTCCTTTGTCTTCCTGCTCCCTGTCTTGATTCTCTTTCATTCACACAATACTTCTCTCTGACTCTCTGCCTTGAATGCCACGGAATTTGCCAGATGGCTGTCGAGTCCGGTTCTGTTTTTGCTGGAAGGTCTTGAATGGAGCACTTGCGGGTTTGCCAACGGAATTATATCTGAACAGCAGAGAAATAGCAGCGCCATTGGGAGCAGGGAGGAGACGATAGCAAAGCGCCGAATGAAAATTCTCACAAATCCTGTCGCTTGCAAAGTGCCGCTCGATGAACGCAGTCACTCCTTGGTATAATGGGGTAGGAGTGTCGAGGTTTAAAGGAAACTCAACAATGGTTCACAGAGAAGGTGCAGTGTAGCATCTTTATAAAATACAGTACTTGATGTCTATATTCTCTTAGGCTCTCCCTGCCACGTGTGTTTTGTTAGTTTGCATGAAATGTACAACTCGGCGTGAGTAACCGTTTGTTTTAACACTTTTTAACCAACGAGAACAAAATCGGACTCATTACTCGTCAAATCTCTAAGCTTAGTGTCCTGATTTTTGAGGCTAATTAATACACAAGGGCAACCATCTGTGAATATTCACGGAGGTTGCTAGTTACCATGACTGTGGTTGGCATTTTTAAATTTGTTTGCACGTTAGACACGAGCGGACATGTCTTGTTTGATACTTGGGTGTAAGATTTCTGATAACTTTCTCCCAGCTGTTAACATATGGAAAAAGGCAGAGCAACAACTCGCGAGTAAAAGCTTGGGAATATTTTTATTGTGTGCAAATCCTTTTTTTTGTTTTTCACATGCATTTAGTATTTATTGTTGAAAGCCCACGTGCTCCACAGATTATTTTTCCCCGCGGTGGAGAATATATTTTGTGTGAACTAGCAAGATTTAAGTTTGGCCTGGACACTTACTATAAATTGTTGTTAATACAGCTGAAGGGAGAGGCCATGGAAACAGATTATGTTTTAAAATGTCATGTATGTATTGATGTTTTGTTTTTTTATAGATCGGCTAATCTCACTTCAAGTATGGTTATTGACTAATTAACTTGGATTGGGTTTTACAGCTCAGGCTGTGTGTATAATCGATCTATACAGCTTGTGTGTTTTAATAGGAAATGTGATTATAGTATTATAAATCAGGGCAGCGTAATGCTATGATTCCAATGCAGTGAATTTCCATTTTGGCCTTCAGCGTAGTAATTTTCCAACGAATCTTTCCTATGTGCTACTTTTATGTATTATTTTATGTCCCGTTTATAATATTTTATTGGTCAAGGCGTTACATTTGCCTTTGAGTGATAATCTACTAGAATCAATAACATGGGTTGATATTACCTTCCTTAATGAAAGGTGAGGTAATCATGACCACTCGACAAAGAATAATAAAATTAATGCAATTCCCGATTCTTACGAAATTATTTGTAGAAGGATGATTTTTTTGATTTTGTTTTTGAAGCAATTTCTGCCAAAAATTATTGCATATGGAATTAAGGTGGTCATGGTAAGAATAGAGAGCTGGTGGACAACAAATAAAGAGTCGGGATAAAAGGAAGTTTCTCAGATTGCAAATTTGTTGTTGATGGAGTTCCTTCGGAACTCTGTTGAAGAGTTAGACTTAGACTCCTTACAGTGCGGAAACAGACCCTTCAGCCCAAGTCCACACCAATTCTCAGAGCATCCCCCTATAACCCACCTAATCTGCACATCCCTGGGCACTATAGCATGACCAGTCCACCCAGCCTGCATATCTTTGGACTGTGGGAGGAAACCGGAGCACCCGGAGGAAGCCCACGCAGACACGGGGAGAATGTGCAAACTCCACACAGTCACCCAAGGGTGGAATCAAACCCAGGTCGCTGCTGCTGTGAGGCAGCAGTGTTAGCCACTGTGCCACTACTTCCATTCAATATAATAATGAATGATACACACATTGAAATTTGACAAATCTACCAAACTGGGAGATTTTGCAAATTGTAATAAGAATTGTGAAAGATAGTAGAGACACAATTAGCTGTCAGATGGGCAGATATACAACAATTTAGTGTATCAGACACTATGTAGTTTTGAAATAAGAATGGAGAAATAGGTATGTGGCCCAAGTCAGCCTTTTATAGAGTCCTACAGCATGGAGATAGGCCCTTCGGCCCAAACTGGTCTATGCTGACCAAAATGTCCATCCAAATTAACCCCATTTCCCTGCACTTGGTCCATAACATTCCAAAGCTTTCCTATCCACGTATTTTTCCAAATGCCTTTTAAATGTTGTTAATGCACCTGCCTCAACCACTTCTGCTGGCAGCTTATTCCATATGCGAACCACTCTCTGTGTAAAAAAGTTGCCCCTCAGGTTTCCATGTATTCTTTCCCCTCTTACCTTAAACTGATGCCCTCTAGTCCTCGATTCCCCAATCCTGGGAAAAAGACTGAGTGCATTCACCCTATCCATGCCTCTCGTGATCTTATGCACTCCTATAAGATCCCCCGTCAGTCTTCTCCACTGTGAAGAAAAATGTCCTAGCTTGTCCAACTTCTCCCGATAACTCAGTCCCTTGAGTCCTGGAAACATCCTTGTAAATTTCTTCTGCACTCTTTCCGGTTTAATAACATCCTTCCTATAGCAAGGAGACCAAAACTAAACAGAATACTCCAAGTGCGGCCTCACCAACGACCTGTAGAACTGCAACATAACTTCTTAACTGTATACTCAATGCCTTGACTGATGACAGCCATTGTGCCAAAAGCCTTCTTCACTGCCCTGTCTACCTGTGACTCCACTTTCTGAGAACCGTGCACCTGAACTCCAAGCTCCCTCTGTTCCACCACATTTCTTAAGACCCTACCATTCACCATGAAACTCCTACATTGATTTGACTTTCCAAAATGCAACACCTCACACTTATCTATATTAAACTCCATTTGCCATTTCTCGGCCCACTTCCCCAGCTGATCAAGATCCTGCTGCAATTTCTGATAACCTTCCTCACTGTCCACAATTCTGCCTATTTTAGTGTCATCTGCAAACTTACTAATCATGCCTTATACATTCTCATGCAAATCATTGATATAGATAACAAACAGCAATGGGCCCAGCACCGACCCATGAGGCACACTATCAGTCACAGGCCTCCAGTCCAACAAGCGTCCTTCCACTATTACTCTGTGCCTCCTACCATCAAGCCAATTGTGTGTCCAATTTGCCAGCTCTCTCTGGATTCCATGTGATCAAATCTTCCAGAGCAGCCTACTATATGGAACCTTATCAAAGGCCTTACTGGCATCCATATAGACTACGTCTACTGCCCTCTCCTCGTCAGTCTTCCTGTTCACTTCATCAAAGAGCTCTAACAAATTTGTGAAGCATGATCTCCCATGCACAAAGCCATGCTGACTACTCTTAATCAAACACTGTCTTTCCAAACGCAATGACCATCTTCTGACCATCTTCAGAGAATTACGTGTGTCAGTGCACTATGTCCTTCTTCCATACCCAGCTAGGAATGAAAAATTGATGTTTGCTGCAGTGTAAAGAATTTGTTCCTCAAACGTTTTCTGAAGTTGTCCCAGGTGTGCTTTAAAAAAATCAGACTGCAGTCTTTGTTTCTGTTGTGAATTAGATCCAGAAAAGCCTGCACTTTGCATTAATGATCACAGTGTGGGACTTACAGCACATATTTACACAGTGAGATCAAAAATGACTCATGTGCTTCTCTGGACTTGATTTTGCAAAGAAAGTGGGGGAAACTGTGTTTTCCTAGCAAAAGGGCTGCAGGATTTTTCTTAAACTAATTCACCAGCTGAAAAATTATTGTTGGTGAAAATTGGTAGGAAACAATCTTAAAGCTTCCTGCTTATCAGCCTAAGCTGACAACAAACCAAAAATGTGGAATCAGAATTTAGTGCTATGTATATTAATTTATAAAGCATTTAAAATAACACTGTAGATTAGTAAGTATTAATAACTATTAATAATGATTAATGTTGTTATTGTTTGCATTTAAATAGGACTGAGAACCTAATCCCACTTATTAAGGATAGATGAGAAGAAAGGGAAAGAGAATAACTATAGTGCTAGAAATTGAGGATACCTTAATGTTAAGATATAATAAATGTTGGTAGAGTTAAGAACAAGGTGGAGGAATAGTACAAATCATGGTTCATATTACTGAGATAGAAAGGTCTTAATCAGTTTCAAAAGCTGTGTGAGAAAAATAGGAAAAATGTTGGATGGCAGGAAAGACTGGAATAAAATTCATACATTCTTTACACGCATATTCACTTCCTCCACCACACAGTTCACAGTAGCAGACATTGTGACATCTTAGATGAAGCACTGCAACAACTTGCCTAGGCTGCTTCGACAGACTTTCCAAACTCCTGAACTCTTCCATCTAGAAGGACAAGGGCAGCAGAAATTTGGGAGCACCACCACAACCAAGTTCCCCTCCAAGCTACACACCACACTGAAATGAAACTGTTGTGGTTTGTTTATCGTCACAGAGTCAAAACCTGCAAATCTCTTAATAACAGAGAGGGATATTGGTAGAACCACACTACTTGCACTGCAGATATTCGAGGCAGCAATTCACCACAACCATCTGTAGTAAAAGTAGGGATGGGCTACCCTTTGAGTGATAAACATCCCCCATGAATGAATTTTAAAAGCCTTTCAGTCACTGGGACTTCATTGTAACTTCCATGATTTAAATTAGCCTCTTTCTCTCAGGTGGTGACCTTCATATGCAGGCAAAATTAGTGAGAGACATGAAAGCATAAACCCCTACCATCTTAAACCCCTGTCAGCCCTGTAGTTTCTGGTCCAACAAGTTAAAATACATTACTTGATTTAATTCTTGGAAATTAAGTATGGAAAATAACTAATGAGAGAGCTGGGAATCAATTTGAATAGTACTCATTAAATATTCAAATTCAAGATAAGAATAGAAAATATTCATGAAATGTCAGCTATAAATTGTGGTGAACCATAAAAAGCCAAGAGAGATAACAAGGAGCCAGGTCTAAATCAAATGAACAAGAAGCTTAGCAAAGACAGACTTTCAATTATCTAGTGCCTTTCATTACCTTAAGTTATCCTAAAATGTTTTACAGCCCATTAAGCCCTATGGAAGTATAATCACTGTTTTTGTAAAAGAAATGCAGTCAGTTTGCTCACAGCACGCTGCTAGAAAATAGTTATATGATAATGACGAAATAATCTGATTTAGTGACATTGTTTAAGAGATAAGTATTATCCAGGACAGTGGAAAAATCTCCCCTGTTGCTCTACAAATAGTGCCATGTGGTCTTTCATAACCACTTGAGAGGGAAAACATTAACAGTGGAAAA